GCTGCGAAGGCTGTTGCCTAGGTGTGGCCTCTGCAGAGAGGCCTTCTGGGGCCGCCTCCCCCAGCCACTCGTGACAGGTGTCAGGTGACAGCATTGCCCGTTTTATGACATCTGTGAACGGTGCATTTCCTTTCTAACTTAGCATTTTATTCTGTTTTTCACTTTCTGCCTGCCTTCACTTGAAGATTAGATCCACTGGAGCAGGAATCTTGTCAGTCTTCTTCACCACCGTATCCAAAACTCTAAGTAGTCCCCAGTGCTTGGGAGACTTTCAGAAGTTTGTTGAAAGAACCCATCTGTGTACAGTCTTGAGGAAGCTCATCTTACATTCAAACTATGTTAACATATTCCTGTTCCTATTACTGTCAATGATGCAAAACATTTTTTACTGAATAGCAGTTAAGCAAGCTGCCCATTGATTTTCTTTTGAATTTAAGTATGTGAATCTCACCTTGGGACATGGATGAGTCCAAATACCAGATGTGAAATAAAATACCAAGTGTGAAAAGGAGTTGCAAGAATAAAGAAAATACAAAAAGACAATTTACTTGCAGCAAGATGTATAGAAATGAAGGATATTAAGTGAAATAATCCAAACACAGCTAGACAGATATTGCTTATGCTGTCATATGTGGAAGCTAAAAAAGTTGATCTTAAAGTGAAAGACAGGTGAATAGTAATTACTAGAGGCTTCGGAGAGGATGGTGAGGAGGGGAGGAGAGGAAGGTTGGAGAGTGGTCACCAAAACATGGTTAGATAACAGGGATACTTTCCAGTGTTCGCATTGCACAGTAGGGTGACATCTTTTATGAAGAACTAGAAAGGAGGAACCTGAATCGTCCAGATGTAAGAAATGATAAGCTCTTCGGCATATGGGAAGGGAACTGAGAGATAGAGGAGGAAGAGAGGTGAGGGAAATGAGATTGTAAAAAGTTGGGGTATTGGGACATGCTCAGTACATGCACCAAGTCCCTACAAATAATGTGATCACTATGTACTACAAACAGGTATTAAAAATATATATGTACATGAAGAGGTCCAAGAGCTGTAAGGAGGGAGAGGGAAGGCAGGGGAGGGGTTAAGAATAGAATTAGGAATTGTCATGTACATGTACCAATTTGCCATGATGAATGTAATCGTTATGTACTACAGATATGTACCAGTTAACAAATTTTAAAAACAAAATGATCAAAAAATGGAAATGCCAGCTGCCCTGGTTTGATTATTGCCTGTCTCATCAATGTTTTAAAATATCATGCTGTATGTACAAACCCATGTTAATTAAAGAGAAAGAAAGCCAGAGATGGCATCGCACACCTGGAATCCCCGCTGCTTGGGAGGTTGAGGTGGGGAGGATCACAAGTTTAGGCCAGTCTGGGCAACTTAGTGAGACTCTGTCTCAGAGTAAAAAGAAAAAGGGGCCAGGGATGTATCTCAGTGATAGAGCGCTTGCCTAGCATGTGCATGACTCTGGTTCAATCCCAGTACTATCCCCCAAATAAATAAATAAATAAAAGATTAGAGTCAGTGCAAATAGTGAGTAACCACCCCCCATGGTATTATTGCCTTGATCCAAAATGTAATAGGGTTGCCAAGGTGAAGAACATGTGGTCTCTCCTCTGTTCACCACAGATTTATAAGGCTATATTTCGAATTCAAAGGAGACTGAGATAAGAGCTATAATAGTCGCACAAGTGCCTGGAGAATGCAGGCAGGGGAGGTTGATTTTAATGGAGACATCAATTCTGGTAAGCAGAGCTTTCTTCAGGCTGTTCCCCAAACAGAATCCTTAGCACTTCAGGAAACCCTAAAAGCTTTTAGGTGAGGAACATTATCCATTGCCGGGGCATGAAGGGCAACCCTGATGGGAAGATTGCATTTCATCAGCAAGTGCTTGTATCTAGGTGATGGATAAAAGAACCCTCCAGTGAGTCCTCAGTTACGATCTGCTAGTTCAGTACTGATATCGGTCAGCTCTGAGGCCTTGCTGTGGGCTTCATCTGCAGTGAGGAGGAAGAGAAGAGGCTGGAAGGTGGGAAGACATCATGGATGAGGCGAGTCATGCACTGCACTGTGTCCCACGGACATTCATGTGTTGAAGCTGTGACCCTGACTGTGATTGCGTTTGTAGAGAAGGACTGTACAGACTTGACCAAGGTGAAGTGAGCTGTAAGTGTGCGGTGCCTCCACAGCCGGGAGGTCCTCGTAAGAAGTGACAGCAGCAGTGCATGCCCACAGAGCAGCACCACGTCAAGGCGACGGGAGAAGACAGCATCTGCAGGCCACACAGAAAGCCCTGAGAAACCATGTCTGCCAACACTTCTGGCTTCCAGAATTGTCAGGAAACACATTTCTGTGGGCTCAGCCCCCCGGGCCTGTGGTGTTTTATTACGGCACCTCTAGCAGATGCCAGAAGGAGGAACTTGACCTAAGTCTTCAGGTAGGGCCATTCATGGTAAACAGCTTTGCTGAAGGGTCTGTCGGAGAAAAGTACTCAGCAGAAGGAGTGACTCAAACCTACAGAAAGTGTTGGCATACACATAGTATGGAAGAGAAATCAGTGCACACAGGTTGTACTTGGGAGCTGTGTGCAATGGCTAGGGCGGGTGGAAGAGGGGATGCGGAGGATCCTGAAATCCGGGTGAAGAGTTCTGTGTTTGACAGAGTGGAGCATCTGGAACTTTCACTTGGGGTTTTGTAAGGAGTCAGGCGGCAGTGTAGCACCCCCTCCTCTTCCCTCCCCTCCCTGCCTCTCTTGGTCGTGTAGTGGTAGAGTGCTTGCCTAGCATGCATAAGGTCCTGGGATCAGTCACCAGTACTACCAAGAAAAAAAATCAGGGGTCAGGCGGATATGATCTGTGACAGAGGTGGGAACGAAGAATAAGTGTGACTCCCAAGCACTGTCACAAAAAGATAAGCCAAAGTTTGGTGGTAGCCCTGACCTTAGCGGGGAAGAGTGATGTGTTCATGTGAAATGACTGATGAAGCTGGGAGGTATCCAGATAGTTCTTCAACTTGGGAGTTTTATGAGGATTGGAATGTGTGTTGGATTAACTAATGGTCAACTTGTAACACGCCGCTGAACTGAATCAGCATGGTGCTGGGTGTAGAAGGCCCACCTGAGGACTGTTGCAAGCAGCATAAAAGGAGATCTGGAGGGGAATATGGTGCAGTGTTGACTCTGGACAAGCTTGTTGTCCTGTTTTTTGTGGTATGAACTCAGTTGTTCTAATTGTCAGAGGAGCTGGGATCCTCACTGTCACTGAGGATGGCTATGATTCTCTTTGGGGGAGCTCTGGTCCTTACCTTGAGCATCACTTCCTGGCTCCAGTGCAGACCCCTCAACCTGATGGCACAGATCCTTCATCCTGCTGGCACAGATGTTCTAGCTTCCACCACTGACCTTTGGGCCTTTCCAGTGCAGATCTTGGGTACAGACTTGCATGAGACATTGTCGTGGGCTCTAGGGCTCCAGCTGGACTCGTGGAGGACATTGCCGTGGGCTCTAGGTCTTCGGCTGGAATCATGCAGGACATTGCTGTGGGATCCAGACCCCTCTGCTGGATTCTTTGGGTCTCTAGTGCATGCACAGATCTCAGGTGCTCTTCTGCATTTGACTTTCTGGGTGAGTATTATAAGATAATCCTATAAATTATGTGTCCTATGTATTCAGTCTATTCTCTTGCAAATGCTGACTACAACAGAATGTATTAGTAAATGGAATATAACATTGTCCTAGGCCAACTTCCTTCAAAGGTTTTTCATCAGAAGAATCATTATTTCCTTCCAGAAAGCTTCATTAAGCTGTCTCCTTTCACCTAATCCCATACTTCCTTGCATGTAAAAATCCCAAGGATGATTGAGGTGCCCTTTACACCCCACCGGGTCCTAGAATGTCCTTTATGTGAGGTTCTCAGGAAGCAGCATGTCAGCTTCCAAGACTGCATATGGTGTCTCAGGTGTTTTTTAATCACTAAAATAATGTTCTTTTTTTCCCTTCATTGTAGGAATTACATATGTTTACTTTAGAAAATTGGATGTCATAGAAATACATAAATAAAAAATTCCAATAGGTCATAGTCTTGTTTAGATAATGTTCCTGTTAATATTTGGGGAGTAAAATAGAAGAGTTTAACTTCTCTTGTTTTCAATTAATGTACATGATCATTCAATGTGCCAAATATTAACAGTATTGTTAGTGCTATATTTTTTAGAGTTACCATGATTCTCTGTGAGAGTTTGTAGGATGTCGTAGGAAATAGTGATTATTTTTATCCAGGAAAAATTTGATTGGCAATATTTGCAGTAGATGTGCAGACGTTTGAATTTATTTCTAGGATGGTGTGGAAACCTCCGCAACTAGGTTTGGTAAAGTAGAACTAAAATATTATTTTTAAAGTCTGTATTTGAGATAAGATGAAAGGGTTTTGTAGAGGTTTAGAAGTCTTCCTTGTAAATAGATCATATTCACTGTATTATTTCCCTTTTGAATGGAGCATGTTTTCCTTTTTTTTTTTCTTTCTGAATGTACAAAGCTTAATTTTAAAGGAGGTAGTCATTTAATAAGAATAGGGCTAATGCAGTGAAGTCTTCTTGGAAATGAAATGTTTTACTTCTGGTGCAGCAGAAGAGTAGGCCCCTGTCAACACTTCTTTTTTTTTTTTTTTTTTTTTTTTTTCTCCGGTACCGGGAACCGAACTCACGACCTTGCGCTTGCCAGGCAGGCGCTTTTGCCGCTGAGCTAAATCCCCAGCCCCTGAGCTAAATCCCCAGCCCGAACACTTCTTAATTGGGTGGCAATTTACTTTCCCTGGAGAAGGTGCAGCTTCTACAAAGGTGCAAATTCTGCCTTCCTGCGCTTTCATTTCTTCTCCATGCTGGGTTGTTTTTCTCCTTTGGGGTACTGTAAACCTCTTAGAATAATGATAAAAATAGGAATCATCTGACTGCTACAGCTGAACACTAAGTGCCTTTCCTCTTTCTGATCTTTCTGATCACAGTCGACGCATGTGAACCAGGCCAGCTTCCAGGTCGAGGCCTTCGGGACGCCATTCATCCTGGATGTCGTACTGAACCAGTGAGTGTTGGCCATGTGGCCCCTGCTTTTGTCAGACCCACGTTGAATCCAATTTCCTATCTTTCTGTAAAGTTTTTGGTTTTTGTCTTCCTGTACTAGTTAATTTTACATTTAAAACTATTATATTCACTGCAAGTTATAAAGCTTGACAAATAACAAGAAATAGGGGTGCATTTGAACTAGCAGAGCCGTCAAAGGTTTAAGAATATACGAGTTCCACCGATATTTTGTAGAAGAACACACGTGGCCTGAACTTTCTGTGAGTGACGTATTATGAATAATACTTGGGTATTGAAATGTCTTTATTAAAAACAGCAGAACAGCAACACACTTTTGCATTGCTAGGGCTGCCTGTGTGGTGTGTGGTGCTGAATAACTCCTGGTTGTGCGAGACCCTTTCCATGGTGTCAGTTATCAGGGACCCCTGCAGGGAGCCTCCAGTCTCCTGCCAAGTGTTAAGGTGCATGGTGGGAAGAAAAAGCAAAAGACAAAATTGAGGTGCAGGGATCTGGGATGACCAGTTGTGCTCGGGAACACAAGGCCACAAGGCAGCCAGAACCTCCGTATTTATTGATTACATCTGAGTCGGGGACAGTGGGGGAAGGGCAGTGGGTGTTTCTGGGAACAAGAACAACCATGGTGGACTAGGAACAAGAACAAAACATTCTTGCAAGGACAAGGACAAATGGGGGCAATGAGGAAACTGTACTTTTGTCTTTAGCAGGTCTTATTTTGCCCTGTGAGCACCACAGCAGTCATTAGCCCTCGGGCTTCCAGCTGTGGGAAACGACCCAGCGGGGCATTTCCACATCTGGCCCAAAGGGCAAGCTTCGGACGTCCCCTGGACTCAATTAATAATGCATGATTCTCAACACCTGGTAGCCATTGGATGAGATACATTGACTGAAGGGGCAGATTTTTGTGAGGCGTAGGGTACTAGGATTATTCTATGATATGATTTTAGAAATGTCATCTTAATCGATCTAGAATTTTAAGTTTGGAAGAGGCTTTTGATACATCACTGGATTTAATTTCGTGCTTTTGGGTCAGGATAGTGTTTAATAAATCTGTTCCCTTCTTTAGAAAGAGTTTACATCCATGTTCTACCACAGGTAAATGGGGAGGGACCAGGGATATGCCCAGCCCATTTTCTGGGCTGGAAAGGCCTGGCCCAGAGCTTCGCTGGAAGCATCTATGCAGCAACTCAGCAAGACAAGGTTGGACAGGAGGATTCAGGGTGAAAAGTCAAGCCTGAGTTTTCCAGACTGAGGAGCCAGCCAGATGGAAGACTGTCACTGAATTTAAAAAAGAATATACAGCCAGACGTGGTGGAACATGCTTGTAATTTTAGTGCTGTGGGAGGCTGAGGCAGGAGTACTATAAATTTGAGCCAAGCTTGGGCAGTTTAGCCATTTAGCCAGACCCTGTCTCAAAATAAAATGTAAAAGGGGCTGGTAATGTAGCTCAGTGTGAAGGCCCTAGATTCAATATCCAGTACTACAAAAAAGTAAAAGACTGTAAGAGTCATGATTAATGATACTATCTGGATAGACAGACCCTTGTCACTTTTGACTGTTTAAGTTTGAATTAATTAAATTAATTAAATTAAATAAAATTAGCTGGGTAGAGATGATACCTGCCTGTCGTTCCAGTTACTAAGGAGGCTGAGGCAGGAGGATGGCCTGATCCTAGGAGTTCCTGAGCCCAGAGAGAGACCTTGTTTCAAAAACAGGTCAATTTGTGTTCTCAGTTGCATTTGCCACATTTCAAATGCCCGACAACCATGAGTGGCTAGTGGCTGCCTTCCTGGAAAGGATTTGAGAAGTGGGACCTTAGGTTTCTAGTTCAGTGACTCCTTCCCTCAAATCATTGTTCCATTGGGATACCCCCTCCCCAGTGTTCTGGTTCCTGACATTTGACTTTGTGACTTTAGTAGAAAGGAGGGATATTTCTGCATGTCCATTCTGCCCGAACTGCCTCACTTCCTTGGGAGTAGTCTCAGGTCCAGACTTGCTGCTCCTGGAGGATGCATATCAGAGAAGGAAGCTTAGAATACTGGAGGGGAGTGGGATTTTTGTTTTCAAGAAACTGGCAGGAACCTCTGTTGGGAAATTTTCTTCTTATTACAGTGCAGATTTGAAATTACTAGAAATACAGGGGACAAAATAATAACATTGTCCTGGGCTAAGACATATGCAGTGTGCTTTTTTAGTTTTTTGGCCTAGGGTCTATATTAAACGTGGGTGGCAGGCAGCTAATTTTCTTTGTTTTGTTTTTTGAGACAGGGTCTTGCTATGTAGCCCAGGCTGGCTTCAAACTCACGGCATTCCTCCTGCCATGGCCTCCCAAGTGCTGGGATTACAGGTGTGAGCCACCATGCCTGGTGGCTAATTTTTTATGCTATAAACACTATAGTGATGTGATACAGATATATGCATTTTATTTCTAGATAGAACAGACATTGGTATTTCATGGTTTCATTGTATATTGTCTGTAGTTATGCTGATATAGGAGCAGGAAGGTGAAAAGTTAAATATGTGTTCAAATGCCTTCTTTTTCTTATGAAGCAAATCTAAGGCTATGGAAAAGTATTTTTTAACTAGAGGAAAATTAAATACATCCCTATGTGGATTTCAGTGGCAGAACAGATCCAATAATATATATTTTTAGATTGTAATGGAAAGAAAATTATGGTTACATAATATTCACTTAGAATGTTCAATAAACAAGATTGTCGATAACCAGATTATGCAACTTCTATAGGAGGAAATGCTGAAGATAAAAGCATATCTGGTTCCTATTTGTCAAAATTATGAAGAAAATGATAAGAGGCAATTATTCTTTGTGGGGTCATAGTTGCACAATTTCTGTCCTTAGGATAGATACATTAGTAAGACCAAATATATGGCTTGGCCTGGCCAAATTAGTCCTGAGGCTACTTTGGACTTCCCTAGAGGTCAGAAATGGGTATTGTGCTTTATTGTAAAGCAGCCCTCAGAAAGAAAAAGGCTTACTAAAGACATTGAACTGTATTCTCTAAGCAACTCAAGCCAAAGCCTTTCCTGTAAATCTCACTCCTGTTCTTCAAGAAGTGAATAATTAAACTTTGCAGAGCAGTCCAAGAATATTAAAAAAAAATTCCCATCAACTGTAATTCTTGATCCTAACAAACCACCCCCCCACCAAACACAGAGACATGGACATTTCATATACACTATGGCTAGTTCTATGATGTGAAATACATGAGATAATTAGAACAAAAGAGCCCATCTTTTATGTATATGTAGCCTGTTTTTTATTTTATTTTATTTTATTTACTTATTTTTTTGGAACCGGGACTCAAACTCAGAACCTTGCAGTTGCCAGGCAGGAACTGTGCTGCTGAACGTATTCCCAGCCCTGTCTGTTTATTTGAAATGAGATTTGGAACAAGCTTTCATGAGAGATTTACAGCTCTCAGAACTTGACCAATCCAAATCTTTAGATTATCACCCTCTTATTTTAGTAACAACAAAATAGTTTCCTTCTCACTCTCTTATCCTTATAGCAGTCTCTTCTTTCCCCTAGTTCACAGTGGCAGGATGTGGGGAGATAGATAACTAGGAGCTCAGACCTGACAGAGGTGAGTGGATGGGGCTGACCAGGCAGATGAGAGGTTTTGTGGGGATGAAGGTGTGTATGTGGGGTGGAGATGGGACAGAAGCAGTCAACTGAAGAGTATCCAAGTTCCATCCAAATGGGCAAGTTCAGTCTTGTTTTTATTTGGGAGAATCACTTGCTTGTAGTCACCTCCACATATTTTCCACTGGGGACCTGAATTTGTAGGGAAAGTAGGAATCACAGTGGGTAAAAGGATATAAACTCAATTGGGATTAAAAACTAACTTGGGAAGTATCTCATTTATATAACCAGGCTGTATTTACAGTTTAGTTTATGAAGATGGTAAAAATAAGTGGTGAGGATAACATTATAATTAGATGATGATATGTGATAGTAATAATAGATCCTTATTACTAATAAATCAATAAGCAAATATTTTGCTGTTCTACTAAATGCATTATGGTGAATATTCGTTCACATGTATGTTTAATACAAAATTATTACTACTTTTTTTGAGGCAGGATCTTGCTATGTAGTTCAGGCTGGCCTCAAACTCACTGTGTAGCCTAGGCTGGCCTCGAACTTGTGGTGATCTTCCTGAGGGCTGGGATAAAAGGCATGTGCCACAATACCTTTCCAAGATTATTGTGTAGAAGATAAATCTGTGTTTAGTTCATGATCATTATCTTTATGTCATGCATACATGTATATGTGATACATATATGCATGTGTCTACACATACATAGACATGCATACAATGCATATATGACACTGTACACATACATATTATACACATATACACACATATATGCACGTATACACATGTAAGCCTATACATATACATACAGAAACACATATACATGTATTTTAAACCTCTAATAAGTGCTGAAGGTCTTCTAGACCCCAAGGACTCAAAATATGTCCTCAGTTCTTGGGTCACTTGAGTTCCGTCACAGACAGTAGACGTGTTACATAAGCTAATCTCAGAGAGGGGCAGTGGTGCAGAAATGATGGTGCTATTTTGGCCATGATTACTGGGGACAGACTATCTTGAAGGAGGTTATATTTGCATGTCAGGGTTCCTAGACAGAGGGAATCGTGAGGGTGGAGATGCTGAGGCAGGACCAAGCTTAGCATGTGCAAGAGGCGAGAAGGTGATGTAGGAGGGTAGGACGGTGAGGCAGCAGAGACACACAGGTGGAAAAGTAATAGGAACCAAAATACTGAGGGGCTCTTGGCAGCAGGAAGACTATGGAGGCCTAGGCCGTTACTGATTTCCTCACATCGTATTATGTTATTCATTCCTTCTCTTACTTGCTTTGGTTATTTATGCAGAAGAATCAGTTACTCAGTGCTTTAATGTGGTTTACAAAGAAATCTCTTCTGAAGATCTGTTCATG